TGTGCTCCTACATATCTAGCCCTTGCCTGGGCTGTGCTCAGCCTTTCTGAGCAGGTCAGGAGCTGCGGAAGGGCGATTCATTAGGATGAACTCTTCACGCTCTGAAGAGATTTCAAACAAGTCAGTAAGCAATGCAGCTTAAAGATCAGAGTATGATGCAAGGTATTACCATTAAATTAAATGGCAGATTAGGTCAAATTGAAGATAATTTTCTTCTGTGTTCACCAGGATATGAAATGAATTACATGCAATTTTAAACCTCTGTGTGGCTTACACTGCATTTATAATGAAATTGTTTCTTCCCACTTCTATGTATTTCCAGTATCAGTAAAAGCTTTGCCCCAATTGCTGTAGTCAATTCAGTAGTTCAGAGATGTCCTGATGCCTGGTTTGAATTTACAGGTCTTTCATCTTTGCTAGTAGGCTGCAAGCACTCTATTCTCTAGATTTTTAATTCTTTTTCCAAGACTTATTGGCATCTAGCATTTGTCTTGCTGGCAGTGGGTGAAATCTAGGATGTCAAGTAAACTTTTCATTTTGTTCTATGAAACTTGAGGTGTATTTTAGTAATCTGTGCTACAAAGATCCAGAGACATTCTATAGTTCTTGGTTTTGAGGTTTGAAATTTTACTTTGTTATCTTGGGGGAGATTTTTCTGATTCAGTTGAGTCTATCATGAAATAAGGACAAAATCATTCAGGCTGCAGCATATCATAATACATCAGACACTGTTATGCCATTAAGGAGACATAAGTCTCCTGTTTTGCTAAACTCATGCCTGGTATCAGTAAAACTTATCCTGTGTCACCTGTTTGAGGTGCAGATACTTCAGGGAAGGGGTTTCTTCTGACTGTGTGTCTCCTTGGAGTCTTACCCGAGACACTTCATGCTGTCATAATGTCAGCAGAATAATGGACTCAAGTTTAATGATTACTGACGTGGCAATTCAGATTTTGTGGCTTAATTCCGTCTGCAGGTGGTACTTCATACACACCATAAAGGCTTAGAAAGAACCCTAAATTGCTTGTAGGTTACAGATTATTACAGAATTTTTTTCACTACGACTTTTTTTTTGTGGTGTAGATGCTGATGCTTGCTTTTATCTGGGGGAGGGCACTGTACCATGCTGATGAACCTGAAGCTGCTGTCTGGGATTTTGACAGAGAAATTACAGGGACATGCTGAGGCAGTGTGGCTAGAACTGTGCAGCACACACCATCATTGCTTAAAACTTTTTCTTCATTTCTGGTCACTGAGATGTGGTCATCCACTGACATTAAGCTGTGTGCCAGAAACCAGAAAATTCTAGAAATAAACTTGTAAAATTAATTTGCACTAGAGAGTAGGGCCTTTACAGTAGCCACAAAACTCTTTATTACACCTGATGTTTTTGATAGAAAAAGGAGACCAGATGATGTAGCACTAAGTTATAGTATTGCCTTTCATTACCTAAATTAGTCACTAGGAAGAAAAACTACTATTAGCTCGCCTTCTAATATTAATCCAATCATGTCTGAGGGTGTAAAACTGTCAAACAAATCCAATCCTTTGCATAAAGCATGAGTTGAGTCTTAAACATTATTACTCAGATACATCAGGTAGTCACAACCTCCTTTGTCTCAGCATTGTCTCAGCAGGAATAAAACAGATTTTGTGCAGTGAATTGCCAAGTGCATCTTCTGAGCTTTGTTGGTTATGCATTATACAAGTTCTGCATTACCTGCTCCCCATAATTTGCCCAAAGATTATATACTCTCCAATACAGGTGGGTGAGTCTTGTGGAAATAGTGTTAGGGGTGAATATCTGTTCCTGAAGAGATGTGAAATAATATAGAATGACTGGCACTTCCCATTTCATCAGATTTCCTGTCATAAAACACCAGTTTCTGAAGTTATGAAATTATTTCTTTTTTTTTTCATTTAAATAACAGGCTTTTAGAGGCCTCCAGCACACATGCAGCCTGAGAACCTAACATTTTCAACTTTGCAAGCCTCCAGTCAGAAAAAAAAATCACAGAGTCAAAACTAGAAATTATACATAATTTCAAATTGTTTCTTGGAAAGTGAGCCTTATGCATCCATACTATTTTAGATGCCAAAATTAAATGTTAGAACAGAGAGTTTTAGGTCTTTATTTCTATATTTGTAGGAACAGTGTTAGTTAGCTCTTTGTTACTGGAAGTTGATTTTTCATCTCCTGACGCTACTTCAGGGACTAGAGCCTAAAGACAAGCTCAAACCTTAAGATCAAAGCACAAAAACTTGTGGCAGCAGCTCTCTGGCCACAGAGAGCAGGCACAGACTTTCCCAGGCATTTTCCCGGGGAAGGCTGTGAGAAGATCAGAGAAAGGAATGAGAAACAATTCTTCTCTCCACTTGTTGCACCTGCTGCTGTGCACATGTGGAATGTGTCATGGCAATTTGTTTACCAAAGTGTGATTTCTTAATTGGACAGTGGATGGTGTTTGGATTGATTGATCAATTAAGTCAAAGCTGGATCTGACTGGCTGGAAGGGTTACTGAGTTTCTTAATAAGTATAGTGTAATATAGCAAAAGATGATAGAATAAAGCAATTTATCAGCCTTCTACAATCATGCAGTCAACGCTAATTATTTCCCCGCTGGGGGCCTGCAGTGACAAAAACTGAATGGTTTGTACTGACAAAGCTTTTGTAGAACTTTGAAATCAGAGAAACAACTACCTATATTTTAGCAAATTAAATTATTTTCCATAAAAAAAAAAAACAACCAAACAAACAAACAAAAAAACATGATAGGAAATGCTGCCTAAACATGATAGGAAATGCTGCTTCAACACATTGAAGACTTGCAAATGTAAAATAGCAGCTGAAATTAAGTGCTGTCTTGATCCCCTCCTACTAACCTGAGCAGCTCTTACACCAACTTCCAGGATCATCCTGCGCTTTGTGGTTCATTTTGGCTTGTTTTGTATTCTATCTTCAGCCTCAAGGAGAAAGCTTTCTCTACCAAGAAGAAAGCACTCATTCTTTATTCTGTCTTTCCAAGCTTTCTCTCGTCACCTCTATCATGCTGGATTAATTCTGGATTTCCATGAAATGTTCTAGATAGGACTTTGAATTCACTTGGAATGTTTCTGTTTGTACAAAAAAACCCTTCAGCTGAGTCTTGCAGATGTGTTTCTGGGCAACAAAACATAAGATGCTTGTTCTTGCTCCTTTGATGTGGTTCTGTGAGAATCTTTTTTGCCAAATATGCAAAGAAATTAATATTCCAGCATTTGCAGTTCCTTTCAACATCTGATCCTCTAACAGCTTCGTAATGGAGCCTGTTTGTCTCCTTCTGTGCCTAAGACATTTTCTTCTGTGCAGCTGTAGTTTTGAAGACCCTGCGGAGATGAGACATCCTGGTTTGACAGCTGGGCAGACTGCAATGCTTGCAGAGGAAAACAAATTACAACATTTCACACAGATGCTCAGGGATATAGCAGAACTCCTGGTTTTTCTCTCAGATAATGCCTCAAAGTACCAATCTTTTCCTCTTCGTCCATGCTGCGCCAGTTGGAGTAAACACTGTGGTTCACTGTGGTTTGCAGTTAATTAATTAATTGATGAGGACCAGAACCCCACTGTGGACACTGTTGCAACTCCTGTGCAAATACAGGTGTTGTCCATCTGATAAGAGAAATAGTTGTCTTGTGATTACTCAGCTGACCTGGAGTACAGCACAAATTTGCTGTTTTAGGACGTTATTCCACTTCAGCCAAGCTTGTGCCACAGTGTGCCCACACATAATCACCCACATCAAGTGGTAGGAAAGGAGTGACATTTATTTGCAGATGCTCAGCAGATACTTGGACTATTTTACTGGGAGAAATTGTAAGAGGCCGTCTGAAGACCCTCACTCATTTGCCTGCCGATTGCCACGAGAAGGAACTCCCTTCCCCCACAACAGTTCCGGCTTGGAGAAGGCAACAGTGCAGGTGCAGCCGCTGTACCGTTACGTTCCGTTCCGAATGAGGCCCGGCAAGAACTTGGCAAGAAGTTGGCAAGGACTTGGCGAAGACCCAACGTGGACCCAGCACAGAGCGGCCTGCTGCAATTCCTGCTTCACTCTCCACCTTTAAGCTGAATGAACTGTTGGGGTGACTCTGGTGGTCTCTCACTAAAGACCCCTCATCTGCCTCGTTACCACCGTGACAGACGGAGATCAAGAACCCTCTCCCCAAGGACTGAGACTGAGACCCCTACCACAGAGAGTGGTGGTGGGGGGAAATGACATGACCTGTTCTTCTCCAGTAACTTCAATGGACTTATTCATTATTGTGTTTGTTCAGCCTGGATGATTTTCTGTAGATACACCTGTTCCCCCCATAGCAATTTCAATAGACTCTCATTGTTCTGCATGTTCCCCCCTTTCCTTCTGTGGACTATAACTGGACCCCTGGGTTGGGCGGGATTTTGGAGACTCTCCCCAACACAACAAGACGGATCCCCATCGTCCGGACCACTGAGGACCTCGCCTGTGTTGGTAGCTATTCCCATCCCCCCTTTCTCTCTCTCTCTCTATCCTTTTATATTTCTTTTCTGACCCCCACTATCGCATTTATTGTTTTTGGCCCTTAATAAAGGTGCATCTGTTGTGATTAAACTGATAGTCCCTGCTGTTTGTCTTTTGCACTTTGGGATCGGCTAACGAACCATCACGACACCCCGCTATAAGCGGATCGTGACAGAAGTACAGGTAGAAAGAACAGTGAGTTCTGAAGTAAACATCTGAATTACATGAAGCACAAACATTTTGGATCCCTCTATTGCTTATTCATCTATAACTCAATAAAGCAAATAAACTCTGCTGGTAGTGTGCAATTTAGTTGTTATTCAGGCACCAGGTGCGGGAAGAAGCATTAAAATGCATGCTGACTGGTAGAAACATAATCATGGAAGCTGAACAAAATTTGAATATATTTTCACAATTCATTAATTTCATCCTTAAGTGTACTCCACACATTTCTCTAACAGATCAGAGTTTGATGCAAAATCCTTTGGAGGAAATGTGAAGAATTCCCTTGATCCTGGAGAATTATGGATTGGTGTCTCCATGTGTAAGTATCAGTTGACAATTTCACTCAATAAACTTAGGAAGCTTCATTATTCTCTGTCAGAAAAAGAAATTAAAAGAGCTTCTGGTAATGAGATTCATAGAGGAGGTGGCAGAAGAGACAACAGAAAAAATGGGTGTGGGAATTATTAGACTATTTCAAATCTTCTTCCAGGCAGATACACTATTGTGTGCCTCTCACACACAATAATTAGACAGAGGATGTCCATTCACTTCCCCAGTAAATAGTTGTGTTACTGTAGTTTTGGCTTCAACTACACAGTTGCCATATCTATCCAATTTATTCATTTTCACCTATGAGGGGACCCTGACAGTCAGAGTGGTAATGCCATTCTTTGAAATTGGAAGCAGTGCCCCATTCCCACTCTGACCACAACCAGGAAGAATTGCTGCCTCTACAATAAGGCTTCCAGCTTCTCTTTTTTTATTTTTAATATTTTTTCCTGCACATGAAGAAAGCTGCTTCTTGCCCAAACCTTGCAACACCTGAAGCAAACAGCAGGTGGTCATTTCCATAGCTGAATCTATTCTTTGCTCCATAAATGATGTTGCACGCATATCAGGGGATTTGTAAGGATATGCAGATACTTATAAGTTGTTAATTTGAGAAGTTTTATTACTGGAATGAACCAATCAAACATAATCTGGCATTGTAAAAATCAACTAAGAAAGACAACTTTTTCTTTACAAACAGAAACATTTTTCTACTTTCTTAGTATAAGGAAAAATTTTTTGGGTAGAAAGGTGCAAAATGGTGATATCTTATGGTGCAATTGATTAAGCAATATTATTCTGGCATCCCAACCCTTTTTAACATGAACTCCACTGTTTCTCTGAAGATGCATGGCAACATAATTACATACCCTACACCTATCCTATGTCTCTGAGGAGTCTTAGTAATGACAGCTCACTTTAGGATTTGGAGTACAAAAATCTGATAAAGAAATCACAGGACTTAGCACCTGGAGGGTGTTGTTTTTTATAAACCCTATATGAAAGTTGCTCAGACTCTGTAAGGTACATCTTAAATTTGTGATTTTTAGAGATAACACTATTAAGAAATAAGTCAAAGTATAGACAAACTTACTTCAGGTGTTGGTAATCTCAAGCTGGGCAGCGTAGAGTGACTGTGGCATGCTGTGCAGATCGACCTATGGGAAGTTTATTGATTTTTTGTTCCTCTTACAATATTTTCCTACAAGGAAAACAATCCTATTCAACATTTTCATTGTCCAAGAAAAGAAGGTTCCTACATGAACTTGTTGCTTCACTGTTAGAGACAAGGGCATGCAATCACCAATATAAAGAGCGACCTCCCAATTAGGATCTTTACATGGAATTTGCCGATTCAGCACCATTATTCCTTTGTTTATGCTTTTGTTTTAAATACTTAGAGAATCTGAATAGCTCGGATTCATACTGCTCAGTTTATTTGCACTTCACTTTTGTGAGTAATGTACCAGGGCTGGAGTCCAGCAGGTAAGGAAGGGATGGATATTTCTGAACGATGAGACAAAAATCCCTTATCTTGGGTGAAATGCTTCTTTTAAACTCATCATTACAAGGAACTGCTAAAAGTGTGTGTCCTCTAAGTGAGGACCCTGTCTCAACCTGTTCAGATCCTCACCCCAGAATCCTCTAGCGTAGAACAGGGACCTATGTCTTTTTGAAGGATATATAAGGTCCCCCTAATTTTGGTGTTGGAGGTGCCAGCCATCGTTTCCATTTTACATTTGGCTGTTAATGACATTTCCTAGTGAGGTGGGAGGAATCGACTTTCATCAATCTCAACTGAAGCATTAGGAAGACATTAGCAAATTACTCACACTCTACAGCTCTTTTTGGAAGTGAAATTAACCCAGCTTTTTCCAGTTTCCTCTGAGATGACACATTTCTGAGCCTCTCTGGGTTTTACAGGGTTTTTTTCATCTTCCTTGGTCTCTGGAATCTCCCTGGACAAGTCCTGACTTCTCCAGTTAACATAACCTACAAATGGACCAGAAGAGAATAAATACCTCTCAGATAAAGCAATGTACTTTTAATATACACCAATGCCAAGTTGCACCTCCCTGACATACAGAAACTTTTTTTTTTTAACCAATATAGTTCCGAATATTTTTCTGCCTTTGTTGACTGACTGATACTTCCCCATTTATTTGTATATTTAACTCTTCCTTCATTATTTTTGGAATGCATTATCATGTCTGCTGCCATCACTAGCTCTTCTTTTGAGAGCCTGGCTCCAAAGATCAGATGGCTGGTAAATACGTTCCCTTTACTCTTGGATTGTGTACAAATTTTGCAGCTTGTACTATTTAAGCCGATAATTCAAATACTGAGAATAATCAGAGTGAAACCCAGTGGGGTCTCCTAGTGTTCTACCCTTTGAACTTAAGAGGTAACCAATGGGAACTTTTGCTTCAAGCCTCATTTTGAAACAAATCTATTCTCATCACAAACTGCTCGTATGCATCCAAAAGTACACTCTGGATAGAAAGATTAACAGTAAGCTTATGGGCTCAACTTCTTCCTCACCTCTGCAGGCTTAGGTGACACTGTTGGAAAGACACTTTAGGAACAGGTATTATCTCTTACCTTTCTTGAAGGAGTCTTTGCATTTTCATCCCACACTGAAGGAGTCACTAGATGGGCCAGCTTAGTGCTTGTGTTCCTTTGTCATACATTGTTTTGCTAGCAAATATTTAGCAGAATTCAGTAGAGAATGTGTTTTTATAGCATTGATTGAAAGAACTTCAGTGACAGTGGGCAAGGTCCTTAAAGCAGACAAAACATGCATGGGACTGTTCGCTCTTCCTCTGAAGTGCAACTGTGAGCCTTGAAAAGATAACATCAATAATCTAGCTCACAGTTTCATGCACCTCGTTCCACGTGTAAGTTTGGTCCTCTGACCTTCTATGAAATCCTCATTTTTAAACATTTTTTGTGATCCTACAGTGCAAAAATCTTTGTTCTGCCCCTCAAATTCATGTAAGATTTTGCCATCCTTCTACTTTGTGAGAACAAAGAAAGCTATGGGAGCTCATCAGAACAAAGGGAATGGAAAGGGAGCTGTTTAGAATATAAATAGAAAAATAGCATTAGCTGTAGCTTCTGCTGGTACTGTAAGATGGAAATCACAATAAGCTTCGAAGGAGTGTGTTTCCTGAATTTCAGTTTGTATAAGGCTTGTTGTTATAGGCTCTTGGGGGAAAAAAAAAAAAAGGCAGTTAGAAGCAATTTTAAAAGAATGCAGTATTTTTATATTGTATGTTTCTTCTATATCAGAATTACAGGGTTTTATAAGCTAGTTGAAGAGAACAATTTACACAACACTATTCTTCAAATAAAACGAACAAGAATACTTGTGATGGGTCGAGGTTTGAGCGAGCTTTTAGTATGAGTAGAAGTAGACAAAAGCAGCTTATGGGTAATTGGTTATGTTCTTGCTGTGTTCCAAGTGTTTATGTCTTTCCTTTTAGCTCTCTTCTTTGGTTTAAAGTGGAATTTTACATCTTTCTCAAATTTATATGTATTCTGGGAGTTCAAAATATTTTATCCATATCAGATAAAAATTCCACCTTCTAAGGAGACTGACGAAAATGGCTGCTGTTCAGGACTGGGTTTCAACAGTTAAACTACAGGACTGAAAACAATTACAAGCTTTGTTTGACTTGATTAGCACGATTATCAGGAGAAAGTTTTAAAATATGAGATATTTGGATAAGGGACCAGGCAGCAGAGGGAACAGCAAATTATTCAAACAAAGAACTGCTTAAATCAGATAGACCAAATGGGCTATATTAGTGGAGATACCTGCATAGAATCCAAATGAAATGTCACTATTTTGGGAATTTTGCTGGTCCTTCTGCTAAATATTGTTTTAAGATAATACAAAACTGAGTATGTGAACAATGGCAACCAAAACTGTTTACTGCTTTGAAAATATAAAAAAGCAGGGTTAAAAGATGTCAGCAAGAGACCAGTAGGCTGTGAAAGGTGGGGGCCCATATGGCACAGCACAGTGTGAAATTGAGAGAAATACCCACATTCCATTTATGGAAATTGTGATGACCATGAATTATTTTTTCTGAATAATCATTTATGTAAGTGACCAAATATAAACCAAGCACATTTGGCAGTAATTATTAATCAACTCTTAGTAATTATGCAAACGACCTCATTCTACCCTAGCATGGGGCTCTTTATTTCCTGTCCGCTTTTTCCCCCTTAGTAAACATTAAGTCATTTGGAGACAATGGAATTTGCTACAATTTTGGTCCATATTTATGAATAGTTTAGGCATCTTTAGGGGGTTTTGTTTTAGTTTTGTTTTTTTTTTTTAATAAATCTATACGGTGACAGAAGGATTTTGAATGCTGAAATGGGTATTCTAGAGGTCAAAGGCATCATTGCTTCCCACAGATAGAACATGAACAGATTGAGTATTTATAGAAAGGCTGTCATGGACCACATTTTGTAATGTTTAGCTCTATAGAAGCAGCTACTGAATAGTTGGAAAAATGTTTTGTTTCTGCTGTGATCTGATAAATATCTTCCAGTAGCGAAGAGTGAAACGTGGTGCTTTGTATAATAAATACTCTAAAGGATGGTGTATGTACATTCCTACTAACATTGTAGGGTCTACAAATTACTTAAATGAGGTTAGCAATCTCTCCACCCGAGGCTTCTGCATAGTAATAGAGTGCTCAACCACAACCAGAGCAAAAATGTGTCTTCTTACCTCTGAGTGTGCTCATTACCTCTTATTCTGTCCCCCTGTTACTCTTCCCCAGGTGCAGGACCCTGCATTTGCCTTGGTTGAATTTCAGACATCTCTTCTCTGCCCAGCTCTCCAACACACTGAAGAGCCACACAGCCCTCTGGGGTGTTGGTCACCAGACAAACTTTATTTATTTATTGTGAGGAGGCATTCTGTCTCCAGCCTGCTGGCAGCTCTTGTCCCTGAGCCACCCTGAGGGCTCA